AAACAAATGCTAAATAAACATACCTTCACATAATATCTCATGTTATTACTAACAGATTCTCATTAAACTAAAGGACCATTAAAGGATCCAACTTAAAGACATAAGAAAAAAAATGATTACAGAAAGAAGGCCTAAGGTGAAAGAGGGAGGAATGAAGCATATAAATTGGTTAACGTGTAGATAAATCTAAATGAACAAGAACCAGTTGTCGATTTTCTGCTTGTGCTTTTTATTATTTTCTTTCTTTCTTTTTTTTTCTGTGAAGTGAATCTGCTGACACCAGTGCCTTGGGGGTGGGCACAAGCAGTTTTGCCTGCAATCAAGCGTGGTTTCTAAGGAATAGGGGACCCCAATTCTCTTCTGTCTTCTCTCAGGGCAGATACGATAATGGCCCATCAAGAGTCAGTTGAGGTGAGTTTCTCAGTCTTAGGAACAAAGATTAAAAAGCAAGCTGGTAACATTTGTAAAGTTTTCTCAAGAGAACTTTGCAAATATTAAATATTCTATTTGTCTCAATTATGGGAAACTGTAAAAAATACATAAATTATATATATGTATGTGCATGTTACTATATATAACACATGGTGTATCAATTAAACATTCATGAGCATGTTACTATATATAACACATGGTGTATCAATTAAACATTCATGAGCCCATAATCCAGCTTAAGAAATAGAACATTACAAACAGTTTCAGAAGCTTCTATGCCTGCCCTCACTAATTTTATTCCTTCCCAGATCTGACCAATCTAGTGTGTTATTAACTTAGTTTTGTCAGTTTTAACATATATGTATATATTCCCTTCACAATGGGAATATGTTCTGAGAAACGGGTTGTTAGGTGATTTAGTCACTGTGCAAAAGTGTATTATGAAAGGGAACAGCAATGAATTTTCTTATTATCTATAGTGGCCACTAGTTGCATGAGTCTGGGCCCTCTATGTTACTAAGTCTCTCTGTGCCTCACTTTCCTCATCTGTTAAACAGGGATTAGAGTAACACCACTCCCACTAAGTTATGACAATTAAATTATAGGTAGGGATTGTGCCTGGCACTCAGCAAGCACTCAGTAAATGTTAGCAAACTGTTATTAACTATTATTTTGCTCTGGGGATGGGTGGGAATCATTTAAAACTACAAGAATTCTAAAGTAGACAATGACCCTTTCACTTGGGGTCAGATCTTATATGTCAAATGCATGGCTTTCTATTGTAAAGGTCTGAGCTACCTTTGGGAAGATCACCCCGTGGGTAAGACAGGCACCCCCCGTCAACATATTTTGCAGTAGGTTTGTTTACACCAGCATCACCACAAACACACGAGTAATGTGTTGCACTATGATATTACAATAGCTACATTGTCACTAGGTGATAGGAATTTTTCAGCTCTGTTATAATCTTATGGGACCACGGTTGCATATGTGGTCTGTCATTGATCCAATAAGGCACATGACTGTATTTGTATTTCCTAGGCAATATAGATGCAGAATAACTTTTTTACTAGTTGCCATACCTCTTAATAAATATCTTAAACCTATAATTTATTCTTTAGAGAAGAGACTCACAACTGATTTGGGAATATGTCTGAAGCAACCTCCCTTTTCTTCTTTCCTCTGGATCGATGTCATCAACATCTTTCCAATTATTTGGTCATCTTCACCTCTCAGTCATCACGTTCAATTACTTTTATGCCTACAATGCCCTCAGTGTCCCTCACCTTCCTTTTACCTCATCCTTGTCTATCATTTCTCACTTTTCCAATCTATCTTTTAAGTTTCCACCTGATTTATCTTCAGAAGAGTTTGAATAACCTATACCCATCTTTAGAAGTCTTCAGTGGCTCCTCATTGCCTTGAGAAAAAAAAAAAAAAATACAAAACACCTTCTCACCATGGTATAAGATCCTCCATGTCCAGCCCTCATGTTAACCTCCTAGTTTACTCTTCTGCAAGATCTAGCATCTTTCACTACCTGCTCCTCTTTGTGTTTGAAGTATCCAGACTTTTAGGCCTACTGATTCCTCAACCTAGATGAGTTTTACCACCTTTTTTTCACCAAGGCCTTGTTTGCTTATTACCTCCTCAGTGAGAACTTTGGTAATCCCATGTAAGAATGCCATACACCTTGTTCTAATTTTCCAAGAGGCTTACACCCTTGTTAAACTCCCTATTTCATTTAGCCTTAAATAAGGGGTCTTCAAAAAGTTTGTGGAAATTTTATACTATCTTTTAATTTCATTTTTCCACAAACTTTTTGAAGTAACCCTGTACTTTGGTTGGTTGTTTACATCTATCTCACTCTTTCATGAGATGTGAAGTTCACTGAGGTTATGAACTGTCTTAGTTATTTATCTTTGAATAATCGCCACTCCCCCCCCCCCCAACCAATCCAGAGTGCTAGATATAGAACCCAGGATGTGGTATGAAATTAAAAAAAACTAAAGCCTATGAAGCAATGTGGAGTATACTATAAAGCAAATGTATTTCACAGGGCCTCCAAAGCCCCGTAGTCTCAGGTTTAGCCTAACCATTTGGGATTACATATAGAAATGTTAATGTTGTAAAAGACAGGAAACTTTGCCCAGGCTAAAGTCTCTGTTGTAAGATATAGAATTGTAACACAGCAAGGTTGCTGGCTCAAGGACAGACAAGCGACTTGATTAATATGTAAAAATTCTGGGAAGGGTGCTGTAGGGAAAGAGAATGTTTGCTAAGATCAAGCTTTTGTTGGTGGATCTACTTAACCTTTTGCAAATTGCATTACCGAATGCCACTTTGCTTGTTTCACTGATGTTACCAGCCTATATTGTTAAACTATAACCCCACTTATGTTCTTTCCCTGTAACTTCCCAGTCTGGAGAATAAATGTGGGAAGAGAACCCCAGTTCATGGTTAATTTCCAAAAAGAAGGAATGCCTCTCTCTTGAGGGTTCTGGGAAATTAACCCTTTTGGGATCTCTCACTGCTCAGCAGAGATGGGCTTTGAGTAATCCTTTTTGTGTCTCTGTCAGCCAGGGGAAGAAGAGGTGACAGATCCGTGTGAGGTAAAGCAACAAAGTAAAATGAAATAGCACATTTATTTTTCTAGCTAAAAGATAAAGACTAAACATAGGAAGTAGGGCTCATTTAACTTCTGTTATTATAGACACATAGTTCTCAATGGAATGACATTTGATTTGTAGGTAGGTTTTTGCAAGTTTTTTCTTTCTTTCATTCTTTCTTTTTTTAAATCACAGATATTGGCATTTTTCCACAAAAGTCTTCCAGTGTGAAAATAAAAATTGAAAATTCTATTCAGAAATAGGCAAAATAACAGGTGCTCTCCATCTAAACTTTCTATTTTAATTCAAGGCCTGCTTCCAAAATCTAGATCTCATTGTTATTACTGACCTGTTTTCATTTCTTTCATTCTCTCTGGACCAATTTTCAGAGTAGCTTTTATTTTCTAAGCATTTTTATTACTAGATACAATTAAGTATGGTGTCTGGCAAAATAGTGGAAATGAATCTTTACTATTCACTGACGAAATAATTGTTGGCAGTAGTAGATAACATTCCATATATGAATGGAAATCTACTCTCAAATAGGTTCAATTAGATTCAAAGTATCACTGAGAATTACATTTTATATAGTAGCAATGAGATCAAAAGGTATGGGTTTTAAATGATCTATATCTTCATAGTTACCAAAAAAAACATACAACTATTTGATAATTTCCTACCACATAAGAGAGTGATCTTTGCAGAAATAAGCAGCTACTCTTCTAATTTATATTAATCTTCCTTTTATCCATTTCAGCTTTCTGCTTAACTCAACCTAACAATCCAGTTCATTCAGATAGTAGATTACTCTTGTACTAGAAAGATACTTTGCTCAAACAATTGTACTTTCCCAAAGTTGTTTTTAATTTCCAAAAGTAAACAATGTATACATTTCCTTAAAACTGTCAGACACATGGGGGGCCTTTCCAATGAAAAGTGAGATTCTTTTGATAGTGGCCTAGAATCTCATAAAGATACCAACATGTCTCTAAAAGTTTTTGCTCATATTTCAGAGTAAACAATAAAGTCCTTGGCAAGGGGATGAATAACCCACATTCAGCCAGATACTACTAGATGAAATCTGCACACTATGCTGAGTATATATTAAGTGAATACAGAAAAGGAATATTATGCACAAGCCATGTAGTTACAGTAAAACCTCTGTCTCCCTACTTGCTGAGGTTCCTTATTTGTAAAAAGGAAGAGACACTT